CCCCGCCCCCGTTCCTGCCACTGTGATCGCGCACCGAGGCCCAGGTTTCCACCAGCCCATAAGCAAGAGCATGGCAGTTGTCCCCTCCAGAGGCTACCTCATGGCTACCCATGACTACTACTGGTGCCGCCTGGATTCCTCTTCCAGTAACAGCTCCTGTGGAAGTGCCGAGAGCCCTGGGGAAGCCATTCCCCACCACCCTGGTCTCCCCAAGGCTGACCCCGCTCACTGGTGGGTGAGCTTCTTTTTCGGGAAGTCCGCCCTCCCCTTCATGGCCACAGTGCTCGAGTCCCCAGAGCACTCACAATCTCCCCAGGCCTCCAGCAGTGTGATCACCTGTGCCTTGGCTGGAGAAGCCACAAGGAAGCAGCCTGGTGGCCAGCCCAGCAAAAGCAACACCGGGGCCCCCATCCTGAATGGCTACCACCAGCCACCAGACTTCCAGATGCACTAGGCTCTTTTGAGTTCCTTTCCCCCACCCCACCCATAGACTAGGCAGGCTGCAACAAGCAGAAGCAGTTGAGTTCTTTAATATCAAAATAGCAAAACACCAAAAAAGAACCTGAGTCTCGCTCTTTACTGTCCTAGCCACAGGCGAGCCTTCCTGACACCCATAACCGTGTACCTTGCACCAAGAGGAAAATAAACAAGCATCCAGGGAAAAAAAAAAAAGAATAAAAAAGAATAAAATAAGCTGTAGTTTTATGTAGGTGCCCTTTATCAAGTTGAAAAAGCCCCAAATTTTCAAATTTTCTAAGAGACTTTTTTATTTCTTTTTCTTTCATCTGAAATGGATGTTGGATTTTGTCAAATGCTTTACTGACATCCGTTGAGATGATCATATTTTTTTCTTCGTTAGTTTGATAATATGGTGAATTACAATGATTCGTTTTCAAGTGTTAAACCAACCTTGTATTCTTGGTATTAAATCCCACTGGGTCATGATGTATTATTATATTTTTTATATATTATGTTGGATTTGATTTGTTTGAATTTTATTAAAAACTCTTGTATTTATGTTTATGATGAATATTTGTTCTCTAGTTGTAAAATCTTTCTCTGTTTTTTAAAAATACTTTTCTAGAGCAGTTTTAGATTTATAACAAAATTGAGCAGAAGATACAGAGATTTCTCACATGCATTCTGCCTCCACATGCATAGCCTCCTCCATTATCAACATCCTGCACCATAGTGGTACATTTGTTACAATTAACGAACCTACGTTGAGACATCATAATCACCCAAAGTCCACAGTTTACATTAGAGTTCACTTTTGGTGTTGTACATTCTATGGGTTTGGACAAATGCGTAATAAATGACATGTATCCATTTCAGTATCATATAGAGTAGTTTCACTGCCCTAAAAATCCTCTGTGCTCTGCCTGTATATCCCTCTCTCCTTCTCCCCTGGTAACCACTTATCTTTTTACTGTCTCCATAGTTTTGCCTTTTCCAGAATGTCATATAGTTTGAATCATACAATGTGTAGCCTTTTCAGGTCAGCTTACTTAATAATATGCATTTAAATTCCCTCATGTATTTTCATGGCTTCATAGCTCATTTCTATTTAGCACTGAATAATATTCCATTGTCTGGATATTCCACAATTTATATATATACACTCAGTACTGAAGGACATCTTGGTTGCTTCCAAGTTTGGGCAATTATGAATAAAGCTGCTATAAACATCCATGAACAGATTTTTATATGGACATGGTTTTCAAATCCTTTGGGTAAATTCTAAAGAGTACAATCGCTGGATGATATGTTAAGAGTATGTTTAGTTTTGTAAGAAACTGCCAAACTGTCTCCTAAACTGTTTATACCATTTTGCATTCCCACCAGCAATGAATGAGAGTTTCTGTTGCTCCACATCCTAGCCAGCATTGTCAATGTCCTGCATTTTGGCCATTCGAAAAAGTACGTAGTGGTATCTTATTGTTGTTTTCATTTGCATTTCCCTAATGACATAGGATGTGGAGCATTTTTTCATATGCTCATTTGCTATCTATTTATCTTCTGTAGTGAGGTAACTAAGATTTTTGCCCACTTTTAATTGTTCATTTTCTATTCTTAAGTTTTAAAAATTCTTTGTAATTTTGGATACCAGTCTTTTATCAGATATGTCTTCTTCAAATATTTTCTTCCAGTTTGTAGCTAGTCTTTTCATTCTGACAGTGTCTTTTACAGAGAAGAAAATTTTAAATTTAATGAAGTCCATCTTATCAATTCTTTCTTTCATGGATCATGTCTTTGGTGTTGCATCTAAAAAGTCATTGCCAAACACAAAGTCACTTAGATTTTCTCTTTTTGTATCTTTTAGAAGTTTTATAGTTTTGCATTTTGCATTTCGTCCTGTGATCCATTCTGAGATAATTCTCGTGAAGGATATAATGTCTGTGTTTAGAGTCTTTTTTTGACATTTAGACATCCAGTTCCTTCTGCACCGTTTATTTTATTGTGATAGAAACACTCAATGAGAGAGATATTGTGAGAAACATGGCAGAGTGAGAGATGTCCCCATATCTCTCCCCTTGAAACAACAATAAGCTGAACAACTAAAACTCAACAAAAAACACCTAAACTGCACACCAGCAAGTCTGAGCGTGGGATCTGTGCAGAAGAGCTACCACAGCTCAGACCCCTGGGTGTCGGGTGATGGACTGGGAGAAATAAAGAAGCTGCCTCTCGCAGCCTCTGGAGCTCCCTGCAAGAGGAGAGGGAGGGCAGAAGGAGCGGCGGGTTACCTGAACAGCCCTACCGGGGAAATCTGTGAGCTCCCCATGGCCGGCTGGCAGCAGGGCCCAGTCATCAGGGCAGAAAGCAGAGAAGCAGCTGGCAGAGAAACAACAGTTGATTTTTACTGGCCACAACTGCAAAACCGAGGCTGAGCTGAGCCCCCAATCTCTAAACAAGAGGGCCCATCCCCCCATACCCTCTGAGACTGAACACCAGGGAGCCCCAAGGGAATCTGAACGAATGCTACTGAAACTGTTGCTAACACTGACAGGGACTGAAACCAAGGGTAGCGATCATGATTAAATATCTACGAGAAAATAAAAAAGCATTTTTAAAGCTTTATATAAAGCAGTGATCCAAGAGGCTTAGACGCCACCTACTGGAAACCAAAAGAAAAGCGCCTTCTTTGCAAAAGGCTAAAGAGAGACCTTTGTATAATA